TTCCTTGCAGGGCTTGAGGCCGATTGGATTCATGCTGCCACGGGTTTTGAGAATTGCACAAGACCTGTCCAAGAGCCCCTTTCATGGTGGTGATTCAGCCGGAGCCTTCGTTCAGATCTCTTTTTGGTTTTGCTTGGTGCGGCTACGTTGCACTCACAAAGCCAAGGTGGGAAAAGGCGCAGTTCGAGCAAAAAGAGGCCAAGCTGGTACTGGACAAGGCTCGCCTGAGTGTTAAACAAATGGGGTTTCCCCCAAGGGCACGTTTTTGGGATCCCCATAAGAAGGATTATAGTATTTTGGGGGTAAAATTGGGGTGCCTCTATTTAGGGAAACTACCAAATCATGAAGGAATGGCCTTGGCATTCATAGCAACAAAGGTGGTACAAGCCTGTATGTCTGACACGTCCATGTGGTAATCAATGAAGACATGATCGGCAAAAACAGCACATGCACCTACAATGACACAAATGCGAGGTCGTAGCACATGCAATAGCAAAAGTGACCCAATGTTAGACACATTTCATTTCTTCACCACTAAGGCTCTGACGCGTCTCTTTCCCTCACAGCTCACTTTCTGCAAGTGCTGCCGCAGTTATCTGCGTTCTCCCGCCTTGCAGTACTGCTTGTCTATACTCGTTGCTGCTGCAGCGGCTGTTACTGATACCTAGATTCTTACCTCCAATCCAATTCATATCGTTGTTTCTGCTCCTCGACATGCTGCGGCCATGATTACAAAGACGACCATGATGGCAAGCATGATGATATGAGTGATACAGCAAATGATCTGTTGTTATCCCTGGACCTCAGGAAGTTGAGACCATGAAGAAGCTCAAGGAGAGCTTTCGGGTTCGAGGTTTCAGGTTTGGGGTTCCAGGCTTAGGGCTTTTTAGGATTCGGGGCTTAGGGCTTTTTAGGGTTCAGGGCTTGTGGTTCAGGTTTAGGGTTTAGGGTTTAGGGTTCAGGTGGAGGCTTACCGCTGAAGGGTCTCAGTTGCTTTGTTGCCCAATGGGCTGCTACTTTGCAGTACCATATGGGTACTTGAGCCCTAAACCTTATGCTATTTAGGTATTCGGACCTTTATGGAAGAAGGTCGAGAGCAAGACCTAATCTCCAACCCCTGAGCCCTAAACTCTAAACCCCCTAAGGCTCCGGACTCGAAAGCCCTACAGCCAAAGTCTTTAAACCACCTGAACCTGACATCCCGGAGTGGAAGACTGGAGGCACAGGGGTTTCAGGGTTTAGCGATAGGGTTTTGGCATTTCACAGTTTACGCTTCTTAAGACTTTGGCAGCCCCTAAGAGCTTACAGGGTCTAGCGATAGGGTTTTGGCATTTCACAGTTTACGCTTCTTAAGACTTTGGCAGCCCCTATGAGCTTATTAAGTGAACATAGATAGCATCAGCTGTATTCATGTTGATGCCACATACGCTACCACCACTACTGATCATATGCTCGCAAGCTGAAACTTTGAGCAGGACCTTTGCAACCCAGACTCTGATCACTCTGATCCCTAAACGTTAAACCCTGAACCCAGGGAAACAAATCTAGGGACCCAACCCTTAAATCCTTGAACAGCAGTTTCTAGACGAGTGAGACCAGCGCGACAGATGAGCAAGGCGGGGGTGGCATCCAGCGGGCAAACAAACCAACAACAGCAGAAATGATCCCTAGCCCCCAAACACAAACGCCCAACGGCAAAGCCTTCAAAACCCTAAGCTCCCAACCCCCTTGACCCCTGCACCCTTCAAACCTTCAATCCTCAAAACCCAAGTCCCCACAGCCCTACATCCCCCTAAACCCCAAAATCCCTAAATCCCTAAACAGCAGCCCCAGGAGCGCTGTGAGAAGCTCACTGGGGAACTGGCAACTCGGCCATTTAAGCACCAACACTCTTTTAGTACCCTCAAATGGGGTTATATAGGGGTAAAGGAGATAATGGAAAAGACCATGGAAACTTCTGTTTAGGGTCTAGGTTTTAGGGACATAATGCCAGTACTGGAGAACTAAATGGAAAAGACATGGAACATTAAATGGAAACTGGGTTCATGTAGGGGTGTATGGGTATTATGGCCCCTAGTAGTGAGGCACTGAGGCCCCAATGGAGGGCAGGAGGAGGGTCGCCAAGACTTAAGGGTTTTGGGATAAGGGTGTAGGGATATGTGTGGAGTCACAGCTTTAAATCCCGTCAAATTTAGATGGTCCTGCGCGGATTATGTATGAAGAAGCAGGCTTTCCTTTAGGATGACTTGCGCTGGGAGACCTCAGGGTGAGGAGATGGGTCCAGAGATGGATTGGGGTCTATTATTGGGGGGGTTATATAGGGATAATGGAAAAGAAAATGGAAACTACTACGGGTTATATAGGGTTATATAGGGGTTATATAGGGACTATGTTGAGGTGGAAGGTTTGTTGATCCGAAACCTGTATCGATCATCGGGGGAAACACCAGCTACGCTCTACATTCAAGCTCCTTAGCTGGAGTTCATTCTCAAGCGAGTGGCAATTTGTTCGAGGCATAGGGGAGTTCGCAAAAATGGTAGTCCCTTGGGGTTACCATGGATATGTTGGGATATGAAAGGGATGAGGGGGAAGGGATTCTATAGGGCTACATCTAAGAAACGACCATATGGAGGCAGCTGGGCATAGCCGAGATGCAGCATGCGTCCTTTAAAGTCAAACTCGAAATCACAAAGCTTTTGCTGTAGACCCCATTGTTAGACACAGCCGCTTTTGATCATCATGACTGCTGCTTTTGCCCTCCGCGTATACTTACCACTGTCAGGACTTGGGTGCACTCATAACATCATTCAGCCTAATCCCAAGATATCCCAAGGGCAATGCTTGAAAGATGCTAATTCTCGATTCGAAGCCAAGGAGTGGATGAATAACTACCTCAGCGAGGAGCGAGCCAAGTTCACATCGCTGCCCCTTCTCTGCCCCTTTGCAGTGTATTAAGGGATGTCGCTTGACTACCATGCTGCGGTTCACCGCTTGACCGGGCGGCGTTGCACTGCTTCACATGTTTCAAAAGTTGTTCTCAGATAGCACTGTTCAAGAAGACAACACACGAACTTGCCTCGAACCACACAGTCGTGACAGAGGTGAGAAGGAGGTGGTCTGAAAGTGGATAGCCATAGTGAATCCTACATGCTAAGCAGTTTCATTCTCAACATTTTGGCCGTCACTGTGACGGGCGGTCAGGCTCATCTCCAAGCAAAATTCTACGCTTCTGACAGCAGCTTGCATTCTTGGCTGCTGGTTTGGAAACTCACGGGCTCTACGCTCCCCTAGGTACATGTATTTTCCCTTGCAGTCTGTCCCCGCTCCGATGCGAAAGGAACCTGCCAGTAAGTCCTGAACTGCATACGTAAACCTTTCCTCAGCCCCAAACCCCAAGCTTTGGAGGTTCTGGTCTTTAGAAGTAGTTCCGGTTCCCCATTGCCAAGCCCCCGTGAAGGTACCCTGCGTAGCACCAAAAGCCGAATCCCACAGCCTAGGGGCCTAGCCCAGAGCCCCCGAATCGATAACTCCATATATTAGAGCCGAGGCCCTGTCTGCCAGAATGAAGTTGATGCCAAGGCGCAAATTCAGACTTTCGTCTAGGCTGGTGGGGTCAAGCCGTATGAAAGGTGATGTCCCCGGTGCTTCCATCAAAACAGTTGGATGCGTACAGTAGTGCAATATGAGGAAAAATAAGGGACATGCCGCAACATGCTTGCTACTCCCCAGATACCACTGCAGCCTCTCAGTGCATGGCTCGCAGTTCAAAAGTGAGACTTGGAGAAATGTGCCAGAATTTGTGGGTCTTGTCAATGTACCATGCCTGGCTGTTAGGAAAGCCTTCTGAAAGCATTGGACTTCCTGGGATCACAAGTCAAGCACCCATGTACAGTTCGGCAGTCTCTGCGGTATGTACCACTTGCAGAGTACACCCCCTGAAGCTGCAGACTAAGGGAGCTGCAGGTGCTGTTCACTGATAAAAGCAGTTGTCTACCCAGAACTGTTAGTCCCTGTAAGACATCTTGTGAGCTGGAAAGTACCAGCTGTTGGACCTGCTAAATGGGTCTTATCTGCTGCAAGACCGCAGAATTCAAACCAGCTAGCACTGCGTTTTCCTCCCGAAACCACCCTACGCCCCAATCCCAACCCTTCAGCCCTAAACCCTCAAACCCTGAACCCTAAAGTGTTTCCTGAGTCCTTGTCGAGAGGTTGAAACTGCTAACGAGACAGCGCCCGTCTCTACTGAAGGTTCCTGGGGCAGACTCCCTGCCGGGGTTTAGGGTCTAGGATTCAAAGTTTAGGGTCTAGGATTGAGGGCTTAGGCTTCAGGGTTCAGGGTTTACAGTTCAGGATTTAGGGTTCAGGCTTTAGGATTTAGGACAGAGGCTTGCCAAGAGCAGGGGCTTGGGGTATTGAGAAGTTTGATGTTCCTGGTGGTTGGGTTGAGTTTAAGGCTTGGCGCCGAAAATCATGGAGATTTCAGGTTTGGGCCCTAAACCCTAAACCCTAAACCATTCCTTACTGTCAGGAGCTTAAACCTCCCTGACTGACACCTGGCATCTTAGACCTAAGCCTCATCGCCGTTAATCCTCAGCAGAAGGCCCAGCTAGAAGAACCTTACCCAGAACCTACAATGCAGTTCCTTTTTGGGTTTAGGGTTTAGGGTTACAGTGTAGTAGAATAATCCCTTACGCAGAAGCATAACAAACCCAAAAAGGAATCACGTAGGAGCCCTTGGGCAAGCACTGCCCTGGAATGTCCATCACCTTGCATCCCTACATAAAGCATCCCCAACTTGACCCAGGCATAGGAGTGTCTCGAACGTCCTTGTGTAATCCTTATCGTGGAACCCCCCAAGAATCCATTTGTAATTCCCACATATCTACATGGGTCCCTTACCCGAGCTGAATTGAAATGAATGGTGTCAAATCATGGTGGTCGACTCGCTGCAACGGGTCCCTAAGACCTACATATCTTGAGAAGCCCTGTCATGCCTCAAGGTGAGGGCATCAGGGAGAAGGAAGAAAGCCCAGACTCGGGAGATCAGGCGCCGTGGAGGGGTGATTTTGTGGGGTCCAGAGATCGTATATATATATATATTTATTTATATCCCCGAAGTCGCAAAGCCACGTTCAGTGTCACGATCCTCTTTCATTCTTCCCATTCGGATGCTCTCACTGAAGTGCCGACTCCTCTCGACTCCATGATTTTGATAGGCGCATTGATGCACAATGCACAAGTTCAATGAGCCACAACTGAAGCTTCTAAGCGCGAGGGCACATGATGTCACCGTGATGCACTGTCAAAATCATCTGTCTTCGAGGCAACAGTGATCCTTTTAGGACGCTGAGGTGTAAAGCGCGCTGCCTGAGCCACACCTCATACGTGTAAGTGTTTGTATTATATGGGAGTTTCCCAAAATTAGGGGTACCTTCTTGGGGGCTCAAATAATAAGGATTATAGTATTCTGGGGTCTACATTGGGTTCCCCTATTTTGGGAAACTTCCATATCTCGGCCCCCCTATGGTCTCCGCTTGTCCCCCTCTCCATATGCAAGTTTGGCAGAGCATAGTGGTTTGGATCTTTCTCAAATAGCCCGGGGCGTCTTGGGGCTCTTCAAGTCTGGATTCCACATTTCTGGGCCTATAAGGGTACCTCATCACATAGTGCATTAAATGTGGTGCTGCTGCGTCATGGCATCGATTGACCTGCAGAGTGATGCCACGCCATTTCGATTTGGGGGTCTCTCGCAATCAGCTGGCCACTTTTGGTCGCTGAAGGTCCTCTCGTGCTCGTGATGCCGTTGCGGTGTGCCCACCCCACCCCTCCTCCCACGCCTGCAAACGATGCCACATGCTTAATAGACGGCATCTATACATGAATACAGCCCCGGGAATGTAACGACCTCAGGAAAATTAAGCAAACATGCAACCATGTTAAGCAGATTTCTGCTTCGAAAAGGACCAAAGCCCGCCTAAAACGCTAAACCCAGAACCCCTAGAACCCTAAAACTGCGGCCGGCAAACCTGAGTCCCAATTTACAAGCAGTCAGTCAGGATGAGGAGCGCCAAGCACGGCGGATAGCAGAGGAAGAGGCAAACGGCAAACACAATTTCGTGAGCCATAGTCGAAACTCCTTGATTGGGGTTATTTAGGTGATTATATAGGGGACTATTATAGGGCTTAGTAAGGGGGATACTAGGAGTTTAGACTATAGCGTGCGTGGAGTAAACTATACCTTTATAGGGTGGGCCCTCGAATGTTCAGTCTTGGTGGGTCCTCTCTGCGAACGCACTAAGCGGTCAGGCTGTAGTTGGAAATTGGCACTCAGGCCCTGACGTCCTGTACTGTGATGTTTAGGTCAAGGTAGGTTGCGCTCCTTTGCCTATGGTAGCTCCCAAAGGGCCCATGTACCTATAGACTATAACAGAAGTATATACATAATTTCGGGCGAAATGGGCTCCTACATGCATACCTATTGGGCCCCAAGGATTTATCACCTCGGTACCGATTGGAAGTCGTCGTGTCAAGAAAAATGCCGCAGCGCTCGGTCCCCATGGGGAGTTCCCATGATTGGAGACTTAGGGTTTCGGGGTTTGGGGGTTAAGGGTTAAGGGGTTTTAGGGTTTAGGGGTTAAGGGGTTTTAGGGTTTAGGGCGTAGGAGGCGTCAACATACATTCCCTTTATTGATTCCTATTCATGCTGCAGGTGTTGAATGCAGCCAGCCCTCATCCCGTGACCTCTAAGCCCTAGCCACCTTGGATTATAAACCCAAGAAGCTGTAAGCTCTGAAGCTTCATCTCTACACCCCAGCCCTCCAAAACCCCCATACCCTAAATCCTTTATGGCTATAAACCCTATCGACCTTCAACTCTGAACCCCTAGAGTCTCGCACCTCCAAAGCTTAAACCCAAACCCTATAGGCCTTCAACCCAAAAACCCCTAAAGGCCCAAACATCAACCCTCCCAAAAAATTGCCCCACAGGAGCTGAAACGCCTCAAAGCCGCAGCGGAGCTCGCAGAACGCGAGGACCGCCCTGCGGATGCGTATCATGGGGTTAAATTATTTGAGCTGCAGAGATTGTATAGGGTTATAGGCTAGGGACATGCTACCCCAATGGTGGAGAATCAAATAAACAACAACATGGAAAATAAAATGGATACTGCGTTAATTATGTAGGGGTCTGTAGGGATCATATTTGAGTTTTAGAGCTCAGGACTATGAGTGTAGGATGTCCATAGGGGTAGCTGGATTTGGGCTTCAAAATTTGGTATTCAGGCCCTGGATCCAGGTTGCGGGCTGTAGATGTGGAATTTACGTTTTCGGCGCCACAAGCGGCTAAGCGAAAGGCCCAGGAGTTTTGGACTTGTTGCTACACAAGGGCTTTCCCAAACGATTGACTCCGCGAAGCTGCGTCGGGCAGTTGTTGTTCAGCGCGAATCGCATATGCAGTAGGAGCGTTATTATGAAATTGTCTGGCCTGAGCTAAGGCGCAGAAAAAGCAGACTGTCCTACTATGCAGAGAGGCATCACCTATGGTGCTCGTTTTGGCTATTGTCGTAAGAGCTGATTCCTCCAGCCTTTTCCAGGAAAAGCTCCTTTTCATGCGCCTTGGCTGCATGTACAGAGCCGTTGAAGGCACGACCTTGGGAGGAGGAGTTTGTTAAAATGGCAGAAAATGAAGAGGTTTGAAGGATTTCTTTGGATCCCGCAAAGCCACGGATCTCTCCCTTGGGGTCCTCTCAACGAAGATCTCCGCGTTTGTTCTTGAAGGGATCCTAATCTCGGTTGTCCCAAGTCAAGCTGTAGATTTGGATGGTTGTTATAATGTTGCGCCTTGCGGTAGTTTGTGTTTTGTCTTGCAAGACAGCATAAAAGAGGTGAAATACAACTACAGTATTGTTAAACTGCTACTGGGTGGGGGCGGTACCCAACATCTAGAAAGAGTGTCCAAAGCTCAGCAAGCTGAGTCTACAGTTGATTGAAGACAGATGCCCCAATTATACTGGTAGTCATGAAGCAGGGAACAGAGGCCATACTGGAAGCTGCCTCAATTTGGAATGTCATTCTGTTCTACTGCACCCTAAACCTTAAACCCTAAACCTTAAACCCTAAACCTTAAACCTAAACCATTAACCCTTAGTTGGATTTCAGGATGTCTCCGGTCCCCATGTGTCCACTAAGGATGACGAAGGGTGCAGCCGGAAAGCCGCTCGGAATCGGATCAGTAGCCTTGACAAGTGAGACCACAAGGATCAGACTTCATATGCGTTCAAAGATAGTAGGGGGATGTGCATTCAATGTGGAAGGAGATTAGGGTTGATGGTATCAACCTTAGATTTTTTTCTGCTTGGGCTTTTACGTCTGCTTGGAGGTCCTGACTACTTGTAGCATCCTAGCCTAGTTCCCTAAAGGGCAGTACACAAATAATGCAGCATCAGTTCCCAAATATCATTCAGACTGTACTAAAACCCTACTATTGGGGTACCTGGACCCTGACAGGGCTCTGTGCTTCTTTGACACAAGGCGAGTAGCTTGCCTCTGTTTTTCTTGCCACTGGCGGTCTTGTACCCTTTATAAGTGACGGACCATCATCTTGTGGGCTTCAAGGGCGGCCTCTACTTTTGCGAATGTTCCACATCAATCCTCACGCCCTGGTTTTCATAGTCTGAAAACATCATCCTGAAACCCTTCACCCACTAAAACCCTGAACTGATTCGCGAAGCCCTAAACCCAAAAGCCGAACCCCAACCCTGAACTGATTTCTTGCTTGGACCTCTGTTGCTTAGGCTACAACCATCCAAGCCCGAAGACACAGACGTTGCAGAGGGCGACGCTAGGCAATCCTTGGAACTGGGTGGTTGTCAAAATTATGGTCCCTTTTTGGGTACCCTAAATATTAGGTGCCGTACTATAATAGGAACCCCAGAAGGGACCATAATTTTGACAACTACCCAACTGCGAGCTGAGCAGGGTTCGTCTTGTAAGCTGGAACGAAGCAGTGGATCCTTACAACTACAAACTCAGGAGTTTCGAGTTTAGGGTTTTTGGGCTCAGGAGTCAGGATTCGGTGTTCCTAGCGAGATTGCAGCCTGACGAACGTTCAGACGGGGTTACTACAGAAGACTTGAAGAGTGTCTCACAGTGTTGGCACGTCGCTTCTTCCCATAACATAAGGGCGAACACCTGTTTCGAGACGGATGAACGTTTGTGGTGAGAGGCCCCCCATGCTCCCCAGCTTTTCGTAAAACGCTTATCTGCATCCCACAGCTCCCCCAGCCCTGGATCTACTCAGACGTTTCGGTGAATGTTTCCCGCATTGAGTTGCTCTGTCTGCATAGTGGTCTTCTGCGTTTCAGACTACTTTTGTATTTCTTTTTTTTCCGCTCTTGTTATAGTTATTAATATTCGCGTTGCTATTATGACTAGCAAGTGCCTAGGACGAGGGCAGCTCCGGTTCTCTCCGAGGTGATGACACGGCATCCTGGCAGACTTAGACTTAGAAGTTGGCCTGTAGAAACCTATCCGAGCGGCTTAGGGCTTGGGGTTTAGGTTTGGGTTTGCCGTTTAGTGCTATATACTTTTGGAAAAGGTTTTTAACTTGGGACATAATCCGCTTCTACGACATACCCGCTCAGCGTTGGATTCAGAACTCTAGAAGCGTGATCCATGTCCATGATGGCTTTTTTCTTGCTGATTTTGTACTCGAACGGACTGACCTAGTCGTATTAGTCTTGTTCTATTGCGTCCAGGGTTTCACGCAGGACCTCAGTGTCTGGAGTTTGGGGGGATGAGTCTGGGGCCGCGTGGCGAAACTTTCTCACTTATGATGGTGGTATACAGCGCCGGGCAATGCCGGGCAGATTTTGTCTGTAATCCTAGCACTTTTCCTTGCGGATACTTGTTTCTGGTGAGGGCAGTTCAAAGAAGAGAGGCCGCCAAGGTTCCAAAGTACACCAATAGTACGCCAGAGTGTTCTCGGAATGTGGTAGCCGGAGGCACCAACATACCAAAAAGACCACCGTTGGAGGTCTCCAGCTTCTATTCTACACTTGATTGTAGGAGCACTGTCTCTAAACGTTTCGACACTTACGATTGAAGACTTGTTGTGGTTTACAACCATCAGCAAATACTCATTGTCATTCTTCACTAAGTATCATGTACAGTGGTCATAGAAGCGCAACCCTCTTTCCAGCTCCAGTCATTCTGCAAGATCTCCTGCATTGCTTTGCAACGATGGGAAACTTGTTATGCCCCGTCTTTGCCCTGTTTCCAAGCAGTCCTTGCGCTAGAGAGGGGTTCTCAGAGATGTATCCCTAAACCCCAAACCCTAACCCTAAATCCCTAAACCCCAAACCCTAAACGCTAAATCCCTAAACCCTAAATCCCTAAATCCCTAAACCCCAAACCCTAAATCCCTAAACCCTAAATCCCTGAATCCCTAAATCCCTAAACCCTAAACCCCAGGGAGATGCTTAAGGGGACGGGCTTTTACATCCTTGATCAGGAAGACATCGACAGAGCCCCTGGCTGCTGGGCGGAATTTGCCTGACTAGACTGGATCAATGCTAGGGATCCCTTATACTTTTTGGGAAAAATATAATCGGCTATCCAGAGGTCTCAGTTGCCGGCCCCTCTTCTTACAGACTGTACGCACACTTGGTTACGCACCTTGGATGCCCTATCGGATTACCTCCGTCTTCCTGTGGAACGGATTTCCTTATTCACTTTGAATCTGTCTGGGTATAATAACGTTGTGCCGTCGTTCAGAGCTCATCCGACGCTCCTGTCCGGCAACAGAGTCTCCCAATACCTCAGCCACCTCATTGTTCCAGGGGCTAGGTGCCTTAAGTATCCCTTACGTATCCCTTATATTCGACCTCTGCCTTTACCTTCCGACTTCCCGGATGAATTTGTGTCTAACTAACACTCTGTACAGGGGGTTACCTCACGCAATAACGCTGGGGGTAGCTCTTAGACAAGGACGCGCTTTATACTTTTTGGGGGTATGGGTAGGCCCTATATTTATGTAAAAAGGATCCTTTTTTCTTCCTAGGGTAATATCAGACTTGTTGATTTGGGGCAGTTTTTGGAGAAACTGTGCCTTGCGATTCTTTCGATTGCAGTGTCGTCAGGCGAGTTTTACCAGTCGGGCACCCCGCAGCATTATCAAATGATGCAGGTTTAGGGTTTAGTTTAGGGTAGTCATGCAGTAGAAGTTTGGATGATATTATTCCCTTCTCATCTCATAGTTACAGTCTAACCTGCCCAAACATCTTTAATCTAATTGAAGATGCTACCTTGACCACTGTAGGGCCTGGTAGACCTTATAACCCTAAACGCTAAACCCTTAACCCAAGCCCTAAACCCTAAACCCCAAACACTAAACCAGAAACCTGGGATCTCGTTGCCTCTACTGGCTGTCGGCAGTGTTTAGTATCTCTGGAAGAAGCTAGACAGCCGTCTAAATCTGCCTGTTTTGTTTTTTTGATTTTAATACCGTTTATCCAAATCGCTAGGCCCCAAACCCTAAACTTTAACCCCATACCCTAAATCCTAAACACCTCAACCCTAACCCTAAGCCCCTTAACCCCTAAACCCTCATAAATTACTACACCCAATTCATTCTCGACGATTACAGTCAGTATGCCTCATGTTTCTATACTCCTAACCCCCGCCTACAGAACCCCTATATCCCCCTTTAAGATTTAAGGGGACCCAGCACAGCATTTCTTGTAAATCCTCCTTTAGGCCTTGAGAAAAGCTCTTTCCAGGCCAGCCTCCATCTTCGCAGGCTCCGAATGCAGGGTTAGAGGGGCTTTGCCCAAACCCTGAACCCTTAAAACCCTACATTGCAATGATCCCAATGTAGCGCCATGATCTATGAGGAGCATTTTTTCTTGGGCTGGGATGGAGCATTGCATGCCTAGAATGGTATAGTGTTTTTACACGCGTTGTTTAAGCGGTTAAGGCGCTGTCAAAAAGGCCCTCCATCTGTCAGTTGCCATTGGGCTTTTCAGGAAGGCGACCTCAGCCTGACTACAAATGTTCTACCTTTGTGACATCTTCTTACGCCATACGAAGGCTGATGCAGCTCCAGGTATCTAAACTCAACTGGTTCCCCGGCATGATTCCAAAGATGTTGCTGTCTTGCTAGATAGGTTGGCAGTTCTCTCGTATACACATGTTTGAGAGCGGTCCCTTGAGTCGGAAAGCCTAACACCCACCGAAGAAGCCCTCAGCGTGAACCCCCTTAACCCCAAAACCCTAATTAATCCTTAAACCCTACAAGCCTTGATTAATCACTAAACCCTAAACAGATCCTGTACCCCTAACCCGCTGCCAGGAAGCGAGGGCGGAGGCTGCTCCAACGAAGTCGGAGGATTGCCAGCAGGCTACGGGGTCATGCTCGATTGTCAATACAATTATGAATATGCTTAGAGATATTATGATTAGAAGTATTATATAGATATTCTGTATAAAAATACATATGTATATTAAAATTCGGATATGATCACCAAGGTTAGTATTGTGAGGAGTAATACTACTAAGAGCTCGTTGTCGCCAGTCTTTGAGGGAAGGTGTTCAGCCATCACCCCACAACCAAGCAACTCGTGATACTGAACCCCTGACATGATAGCCGCCTCCTGAAACCAGCTTCTGATGCAGCGCAGGCGCTCGATGACGACCTCCTTAATACCATCGAGTTACTGATGGAAGCTTATAGCTTCTTGTCAGCATCTTCAATCTGTCGAAATGGCAGTTCTCGTATTGGGGAAGCCTTTTTATTTACTATATATACCCTTTATGGTAACTTAGCTTAAATTCCTTAACAGCAACGTTGTGAGCAGCGCTACAGTGACATGGACTTCGAGCATCCCGCCTCCTCCACTCGTGTCCCTTGGCACTGATCCACAGCCTACCGACCCCTGGTCACAGTACATGGTAGTTTCCATAAGCACGGGAGCCCAATATAGACCTCATAACACTATAATCCTTACTATGCAGGCCCCCCCCCAAGAAACCCCTAATGTCCGGAAACCCACACATTGTACTTGGGACGATCTGGGGATGTTAGTTCCAGACTAGAAGTGCCAATGTCCTCAGCAAGGCTGAAGGCCCTGGCATTTTGTCCCTTTGTTTTAGGGTTTAGGGTTGGAGAGGATTTTGGGTTCGCCCTGGGTCCTGCCTGATGGCTCCAACGCCAGTGCCACCAGAAGCTTTCAAGGTAGCATGAAGAGGTGTGCTGAACAAGCGATCAGCAGTGTCTCTAAGCTCCATACTTTGCACAATGAAGCCCAGACAAAGTCTACGAACTCATTGAGAGTTTGTTCGCATGGCATCAAGAATCCATGTATGTCCCATGCATCCTCTGTCATGGCTTGCCAGCCCAAGACCCCTCAACCATCAACTCCACGGACCTCTAATTGAGCACCAGCAGATTCGCTCCATGAAGTAAAAGACTCAGCACGAAGAGCATGATCCCCTGTTGATTCCTATGAGTTGTCTTATGGTTGTTGAAGAACCACCTTCCAATCCCAGAAGTGGATCCCCATACAGCCCACATTTTTCACTTTTAGAAGCCAGCTTGCTGAAGGTGCCAAAGAGGTGGAGGGCCGGGAGTTGCTGGAAGCGTGGACGCAAGGTCATACGGAAACCTGCAGGTTAGGCCCGCTTACGGGGTTGTTTATTAAAGCTGAGGCTGCGGAGTAGTAGGCACACTGTCCCTGTCAGCATCTTGGGAGAGTTTCAGGCTTGGGTATACGGAGGTTGGGTTCGGCTTTTGTGGAAATTTTGGAAGTACAGTGGTGTACAGAATACCGGGGGGCCATGTTGCTGGGCTGAGCTTTCTACACAATTCGTCGTGTAGACAGGTGAGTAGTTGAGAAGAAATCCCCACCTTTAGAAAAGAAGTCTGGGTTTGATGGGCGGCTGAAGCCTCAGCAAAATTTCAGATGTCTTCGAGGTCTACGCAACTCAGACGTTCAGCTGTGGCCAAGGAACCGTTCTCAGAGCTGCTGGAGGTTCTAAAAGACAGCGAGAAGCCAACAGACCAGGAGATCAAGGCACAGTGCCCGCTGACAGATACATGGTACACGGGGATCCCATCCCTTCTTTGAGTCATGCACGTTGCAATGCCTGTCTAAAAAGGGGTCTTGACTGTTTGCAGTTGGGTTGCCAGATGACTGTTGCGACTTTGATTCAAGCAGGGAAAGTCGAATCAGAACACGTGTACATGAAAAATCAAGATATACCTCTTTGATGATGCTTATGGAACTCGCAGGTGTTTGCTAGACATGTCGGGAACCAGGGTATTGTGGTGGATTTTATCAATGCTTTTTTTTGCATCCTAAGCATCCATTTCTTCTTTTTCTACCGGGCACGTGAGAGAAACGACTACTCATGCTAGCGTGCTTCGACCGGATTGGGTGAGTAGCCCTGATGCGCACAAACTACAACAGATGCAGGCGTGTGTATATCACATATTCTTATGCTCTATGTATAGAGCTGCAGATGGGGAATGCACATGTGTGTAGTTCCGTATGAGGGTTGGTACTAGTAGGATATATGATGTAGGTTATTTATGCAGTCATTTATTTATTGCTGGCATTGCAGTGGTAGGACACTGATGTTCCAACTTTCTGGTTTCTAAAGGAGGCGTTTGATCCTTTTTCAACAATCGGGACCCTGGTTATGTTCCGCAGGGATGTGGAAATTGATTTAGGGAAGGTGTAGTAGCGGTTAAGTTTTGGGTTTCTTATAGTCCTCCAGAAGTAATAGGCTTGGGGCCAATGGCATAGGGACTTTAGATTGTGTCCTGACATTTTTCCCCTGGTTCAATCAAGACTCAGACTCTCCGTGCCAGGAGGTGTTAGTGGAGATGATGGGCATCATCGAGGAGGTTGGAAGCATTCAAGCAGACAACCTTAGTAGGTATTTCTCAATGTTGGGTCACAGACATGCCTCAAGATGTCCAGAAACCAGAACCAATTGGACAAGAAATTCTGGAGTTAGGATGGCTGGCAGGCTGCTGCAGGTAAAGCTGCAGACCCTACTCTGCGATAAACCTGGACTCCTACAATCCGGCATCCATGAGCCCCAACGGAAAGGCCAGTCACAGAAATTCCAGTCCCATATTCCCAAGGTCGGAATGAATCCACCTCTTTCAGAGCTTGCAACCAAACTCTAGAGTTGTTTTTGGTCCCTCTTCTGCAGGCATATACAATTGTTCCCCGGAAAACTGCCTAAGCTAAGCATCAGGAGGAGCGAGGTGGATAACTTTAGAGGCTCTGCGGTCCAACTCCAAGGAGAGAGCTAAAGGGGTCTGGGCGGGTGGGGATGGGGATTTGCGGGGCTTCAGGGCTTTGAGGGCTTTGGCTTGTTTGGGTTTGATGGGGTTACAGGCCTTTGCAGTTCTGGAGTACATGTGATTAGATATGCATTTACATACACATATACATATATATATATGTAATATATATATATATATCACCTGGAGCAAGGTGGATACTGGTTATGAGTACTGATGCTATCAAGCATAGCTGGAACTGTGAACGTTGAATTTACTCTGGGGGTTTTTACTTCGAACCTACTTCTAGATCTGTTAATCGTAAAGCCTAGCTCGTGAGATTGGCTTACAGCCAGGTTCGGGGTTTCCTAATTCATTGCATCCTAGGAGTCAGGCTATCTTACCAGCAGAAAGAAACTCCCATCCCCTGAGCTCCAGATAACCCTAATATGGTATAGTAGTTTCCATATTCTTTTCTATTATTCCTATAGAACCCTATATCAGACCCCTATATTCCCTCATCCCTGCAGTTCAGTGCTCAAATTTTCCAGACCTTAGCACCTATCATAAATCATGATACGCTCTCATAAAGGCGTGTGTGATATTGCACGCCACATGTCAGCCTCACACAACGCTGTATCATTATTGCTATATAACTACTAGGGAATAAGGACCCAGAATTCCCTCTGTATTTTGGTCGATTTGGGAACCTAATCCCACAATGGTGATATTTTGTTTACTTCGACTGCAGCTTGTATCCGTGGGGGAGGACCTGCCCACAGCTAACGACGCGGCCGCCGTTTTGAGGCTCTTGTCGTTGGTGAAACCTGCACATAAATTTGTGAAGATTAGGTTTTCATTAGCGGTCAGGGAGATGGTAGTATGCTTGCTGTCTGTAGTGTTACCAGCGGTCAGGACTGCTTTCAGTTTTCATCACCATTGGCAGCATGTCTGAACATGTCTCGAAAGCATAGATCAAGGTTGTACATGCGAGATGGTGCCCCACCCTACTACTCACACATCCTTGTAGTCTTATTACGTACACTCTCAGAAGAGTCTCATGTATGACTGCTTCAAGGTGTGGACACTATCCAGTCCGTGGGATTTGAGGCTTGCTTGTAGCGGCGCCCTTCTGGGGCCGGCAGAACCCCCAATTCGAGCTACGTGGACATCAGCTGCTCCACTGCTTTCCTGATTGAAAACTGAAGTTCCTCAATGTGGTCCCTACCTAACCCAATGTCTTCTGATAGTTTCCATATTCGCGGCTCCTACGCTGCTGCCCTTGTTTGAGCAACCATGAAATGGAAAGTCCGAATGATTTTGTCTGAAACTCAGCCCCTAAACCCCCAAACCCCCAGGAACAGGATCCTGTGGTTTCATTTCTGGAGCAGGCTGCGCTCCCTTGTTGTTGCAACTCGAAATTTCTAGTGTAGATCTTACAGTGTTGGCTTTCTAAACTAAGGTTTCTTGCAAAACATGTGGTTATGGGTACTCCCAACCAACCCCCGCCATCCCCTTTAATTAGCTTCAGCTGTCCTTAAATAACCTTACCTAGAGGGGGCGAGGTAGTAGGGGAATCTTGAGTAGTTGCAGAGATAGGCAGGTCCTGGGTTCAGCATCACTCAGCTAAGCCATTACCATGGGTTCCCCTATTTTAGGGGTTAGGGTTTAGGGTTATGGTTCTCCTTTCATTGAGGTTGTTAAAGGAATTTAAAAATAACTAAGGCTAATTGCGGGGAAGCAGGGGGGGCGGGAACTGAATACAAGTTCGCAAGGCTTTAGCTGATCCCAGGACCAGGAAGCTCAAACCTTCGCAACCCCGGAGCCAAACACTTGAATAGCAGTAGCAGTAATATCAGTAGTAGTTCAAGAAATCAATAACAATAATGATATGGTTTAGGGTTTAAAACGGCGCAGAAGTTCTGTGCGGCTTCTTTCATGCCTGGGAACCTAAAATTCCTGAGAAGCTCATGCCCGACCTAAACCTCCACCAAGCCCCGACCCATAGTCCTCAGGTGCGACAAGCATGGTGCGGCGCCGTGAGTTGGGTCGATGCACCCTCAACTTTAGTAGACTCTCCCATAGTCCTACATGGACATGTCTGCAAGGTTAGAAGTTAATGGAGTGCGCAGGAAGTTGAAAACAGGAACGGTAGCACTCATCAGCACGAGAATGGTGAAGCAGTAGCAGTTGATGACTCGTACTTGTCGTTGGTTGAACGGAAAAGGCTTCTCGAGAAAGTATGCGCATCTCAGTACTCTGGTTGATGCTGTGGGACTTAGCTGGAAGGATATTGGTATTGCAAGTAGTTGCTTGCGCGAAGAAATATAGGGCTGTTAGCCGTCTATCTTTTCATCATACGGCGTCAGCTACTGCTTGAGACGGTCACCGCCGCTGCATAGAAAAACGCACCTCTTGTGAGGAAGACGCTTCATGTGTGGTTATGTGTGAACAGTCAAGAAGATAAGCCCTTGGCTATCTAAATGGTGATGGTACGTTAGACAACATTGCAAAATGCGCTTCCATTCTCATTCATGTCCCAAACCTTGGTATGAAGCAATCTTTACTAGGACTCTCGATCAATATGCCGGTTGTGGATCCTAAACGCACTTGGAAAGTTCTGCGGCGCATGACAGGGCTAAGTACCGCTGCATTGAACCAGTCAGGCTGTGTATAGAGAAGGACCATGCAACAGCGCTACCCTTTTTCCTTTGGCGTCTGTAGCATGAACTGATGAGCAACAACACCCAGCCGTGACGTGTCTCTTCAAGTCGTATTGTGGTTGTCAAACACCCAAAGGATCCATGTAGCTATATGGCATATACTTGGGCCCTAAAGTAGTTCTATGGGAGTCACTCCGGGTCCAAAGTATATACTATATAATCTATACTATATTTTTATCATTACTTGTATTCTTATCATGATTGTTATAAAGATACCAGCCCAAACCCTGAGCCCTAAACCTTACAGCCTATACTTTATAGCTATGGATCGTGTGGAAAAACGGTAAGGCTATTCCGGAGGTGCTGCTGCGGTAGCAGGGCGCTTGCGTATTCCTTTGGCCTTGCTGGAATGGAGGGTTTAGGGTTTGGGGTTTAGGGTTTAGGGTTTAGGTTACATAGTGACAGCTTGCCTTTCTCTCCCTCAGATGCGTACTCAACCCTGACATTGGAATGAATCATGAAGATCGTTTATCAGTTTGTGATATGACTGGAAAAGGGTACAGATATGAGAAAAGAAGCTTGCACAGGAATCAAAGGGTTACAGTATGGTTCAAATTGAACTCTAGCCTGCGCGCGAAATCAGTAGAAACAAGAAATAGATTTATGTGGCGGTACAGGGCTTTAACGGAGTTCGTGCTCATTATGACATCTTGGTGAATGAGCTCACAACCTCACTGCTTCATACTGAATCAGGTGCTATGCCGCAGCTTTTATAGCCAGATCCGCAAGGATAAGTGCAGCAAGAGATGGGATGTCTGTTTTGGTCCCTACATGCGCTATAGGCTAAACTCCTTGAAAGGGGGGTTATATAGAGGATCATATGGGGGACTACTCTCGGGCTTATCAAAAGGGATACTAGGAGTTTAGACTATAGCTCACATGTATAGTGTTTTTTTTGCATGTATCCCTTGCTGCAACCACGATCCTTTGGGCCCCTTCTAGGTCTGAACTCCCAACACTCCACATCTGACGCCCTGATGGATCCCTAGCCTCGGGACCCTAAACCTAACCAACGCCTCACATTCAACCGGCTGCATCCTACTAATAATACCCACCAAAACAGTAACCATGGTAAAAATTTGGCAACATGTAGTAATAATAGCAATAA